TCCAGGAACAGAAACAAATGATGCATATGTGCCATGATGAAGGAGGAGAAAAATAAAGAACACAACAAATACTCCATGAGGTATTCGTGAAGAAGCAGCAATACATAATAGCTCATGATCCTCCTATGTTATATGTACTTCTTTATTTTCAGTCTTTTAATTTTTGTTTTTGTCAATAAAACTTGGTTTTCAGAATAACGAAATTTCAGAGATTTGGTGGACATCATGATTGATCTAGCAGTATGCATTTTTAAGATATTTATTAAAAAAGTTTTTAATTGTAGTACTCTGACAACATAAAAAAAAGTTATATATATATATATATATATATATAATTAAAAGATGTTGATTTTTTAAGGTAGTTTGGTTTCTAATTAGTTGACAGAATGTGTTTATTCAAAGTCCTTTCTAACGAAAAAAAGTCCAAGCAACATCTTGATCATAGTTTCAACTTTCTGCGCTCGGTTTTTTTGAGCACCTCCCGTTTTATTTTTTTTACATTCTCAAAAATCCATCTCAATATTTTCTGAATCACCCATTGATGTTTGAGTTCTGTATAATGCTTTTGAGTCCATTAGGTTTGAGTGTGTTGTTGGGCCACTTAGTTGGGAGCTTTCTTCGGCTCTTTATTCCTAAACCCCATACTTTCTTCCTGTACTCCCATATTCATCTAAAATAACAATATTATCTCTAATATAAATAAGTTTCTGAAAGTTTATTCTAAAAATTTGTCAGAGTAACCTTTCTAAAAGCTTTCTAGAGACGTTCTGAAATCAACTTTCTAGAAATATATTCTACAAAACTGAGCTTGGACCATTTTTTGAAAAAAATTTAGAAAGGCCAATCCAAAATTCAGCCCTTTCTTTCCTTTGTGGATTATTTTGTGGCCTGTATTTTGATGCACTGTTCACAAAAAATACAAAACAAAAAGTTGATTCAAAAATCAATGAGAATTGATAAAAAAAAAAAATTTATGGTGTAGAAGAAAACACTCAAACCAAGGTCTTTTCATTTTGTATCCCAACAATTTCGGCCTACATCCCCTCTCATTAAAATGAGATAGGTTTAATTAATTTTTTTCCGTTTCTACTAAATAAAATGATTTTGGTCTTTAACCTTTTTAATTTAACTTTAGTCTTAGACTATATTTTTGAAGATTTTTTATTGAATAATCATATATTACATCAATAAAGTACTAAATGGTTATCTTGACTTTGATGATTTAGACAGTGTCCAATAATGATTATTAATATGGAAATAAATTAAGTAATAAAGAAAGTAAACTGTGATGTAGTTTTCAAAGTCTTTTTTTCCTAGGTTAAATAATAATCTCAGATGATAGTGTGACTTTCTTTAAATAAATAAAAGAGAAGAATTGTGTTTTATTGACCAAGTAAAAAAAATGTGTCACTACAAGTCATTCGGACTCATGAATCATACTTTTTTTGTCCTATATTAACTTGAGCGTTCATAGGAGCTTTTTGAGTGTACTCATTTTAAAATCTCTAATTCTCATTATCAATGACATTTTATTAAATAAATTATTTACAATATTATCATAATTTATTTCTTTTAATCTTATTTAATGATCATAATATTTATTATTTTCGAAAACTCACAATAATAAAATAATCATTTTTCTTCTATTTTAAATATAAACATAAATATTATTTATTATTTTAGTCCTTACATTTTATATCCACTTCTTATTAATATATTTATTTATTTTTGTTGTAATTCTTATAAATATGTCATTTTAACATTAGTCCTTTATAAATATATATTTTTTGTTTTTAAGTCTCTATGAATATATTTTTCTTTATTTTAGTCCATAAATATATTAAGCTTCTATTTTAATCTCTAATAATATCATAACTTCATATGATATTTCTTGTGATAACTTATTTTGATAATTTTTTTATTGGTTTGATTCGATTTTATATTAAAAGTAATTTGAACTAATTATAAAATTTAATGCAGTTCGTTATTATTTTAAAAAAATATTGAACAAAATTAAATTAATATTTTGTAATTTTGGTTAGATGGTTATGGTATTTTTATTTTATAAATCAGTTAAAATATATTATAATAAAATTATTATTAAATAAAAAGATATATTATGATATTATTATATAGTTTTAGTTTATTTTTATATACTTTTTATATTTAATTTAAATAATAATAATAATAATAATAATAAATATAAGAAATTATAAAATTTTGGATCATTCATAATAAATATCATTTTATATTTTAATTTTAACAATATTTATTATAATTTGGTCTCGATTCAGTTTATATTGGTTTCTAATTGTTAAACTGAAAATCGAATAGAATTAATTAATTTTAGAATTTTTTATCAAAAAGTAAAAAAAAAAAACTTTTTATCGATTTTAATTTTTTGAATAATTTTTCAATTTTATTTTCTAATTGATTAAGTTTGAAACACTTAAAAAAAAGATAATTTGAAATAAAAAAATTATATTTTGAATTACATTAAAATTCGTATATACTTTTGAAATTGTTAAAATGAATTAAATGATAGAATTGAATAAAAATGTTAAAATATGTTTAATTTGGTGAGTGAGTTAAAAAAAATAAAAATATGTTTGACGAGATTAAAATATTTATGTCTTAAATTAAATTAAATCAAATTTATTTTGTTTTTTTTTAATCATCATCAACATAAATAAGATATATTATTTTATTTAAAAGAATATATTATAAATTAAATTGATAAATGATTAATTTATTTTTAAAATAAATATAATAATAAATTTTTAATAATTATTTATTACAAGATTTAATAATTATAATTAATTATTATTTTAAATTAATAAATTATTAAAAAATAAATAATAATAAAAAAATTTAATTTTAATATTAAATAAATTTATTATTTTATAATTTATATATTAAATTATTATATTTTAATTATTTTATTATAAATATATTAATTTTTTTATTTTAATTAAGTTAAATTTGACTATTAACCTATTGTTCTAACATAACATCGTACTCAACTAAAATTTATGAGGTGAGGACGCCATTGTTTGAGAGCTCGAATCAGCCACTCCTACAGAAGGACTGCAATGTAGTTTTCGCATCAAAATGAATGTTATTCACTGTATTGCGGATTTGATTTGCTTTACTAAAAAAATTCACGTATTGGATATAAAAAATAAAAATTAGTCAAACAAAATGAATGTTAAAATATACTCACTTAATCTCAGTGGATGAAAATTACATGGGCATTGGTCAAAACAAACACAAAATGATAAATTTTAATTTCACTTAAACTGTTTTTTTAATACTCTAATAGATTAAAAGTAAGTTTGATTTTTTTTATTAACAAGTATTTAAAAAAAAAACGAGAAGCTAGAATGAGTAAAACATTTTTCATACTTTAAAATTAAATTATGTAGATTCATTTATGAAAAAGTAAAATGGGATTTTTTTTTATAATATTTGACAGTTATAAATTCATTTTAATTTAAAGAAGAGTTTTTGTTTTTATATAATTATTATTTATTTTTTCTTTTCTCATATAAGTATTTATTGAAAAAATTAGTTGATTTGAGTCTAAAGCTCCTCCGCAAAGTTAGAGGAATGTTTAAATAATATAAACCTTTTAAAATATTTAAGTCCTATTTAAATAACTTTCTTCCAGTTTCAAAGTAAACTTATACAAATTTATGATTTTTGTATATATAAAATTTGCATGCAAAAGCATCATATATAAAAATCAAATATTATTAACAAAATTTATCACAACTTGTATTTTATATTCTATTCTGATTTAAATGTTATTTACACATTTTTACCCCAACAAAAGTAATGTTAAAATCTCTCGAACATCAATAATGACTTTGAAGGTAATAAGGATGTCAAAGTTATAAGAGTTCTAAAAGTGAACCAAGTTCTAAAGGTAGTTCAACACAACTCAATTTAATTATGTAATTATAATAAACAAATTAAATTAAACTTAAATTTTTTTCACCTAATTATCATAATATTATTTATATATGTTTATTTTTGTTATAATACGATTTTTTTAATTAATAAATAATACGAATTTAATGAAGTGTCATGCTAGAGACCATGAATACCGATAATTTCAGATGATGAGAAAACGTGGAAAGTGATTTAGCAGTTCACTTCGCCTAGAAAGACAAGGTTTAGCATTTTTCTTACAATATATAGCACATGGTTCATTTGTTCAGATTATTGAAAAAAATTAGAGAAAAATCTTAATCGAGTAACAACTAATACTATTTTTTTCTCTCTCCTTCTATTATCAATTATTAATTAATAACTTCTACAAGTAGAAGATGGAGAGAACATGTACACACAGCTTAACAAAATAAAAAAAAAAAGAATGTGTCATGGAATATTCCCTTTTCCAAAGTGTTTTTTTTTTTAATTTGTTACCTGCTAATTTGGAAACACTTTTGTAAATTTTAAAAGGATAAATTATTCATTTAATAATGATAAATAAAAAAATTTACATTTTAATTTTAAAATTTTATTCCTTAATTTTATATATTATATTATAATCTCCTTTAATTTTTGTTCTATTAGATAATAAAAGCTAAAAATGCTATATATAGATTTTGAAGATTTAAATCAATAAATGTAAGAAATAAAGTGAATAATTTCCAACTATAGAAAAATTACTTTTTATAAAATTATAAAAATTAAATGAGTAATTAATAATCATAGTAAGAAACTTACATGTATTTTTCTTATTAAACCTGAATACTTTCTGTAAAAAATAAATAAAAAACAGAATACAGTGAATAGTATTTTGTAAGCTCGGAACAAATGAACTATAAAGTAGAAGTCAATTAAATATTCTCTTCACTTTGGACCTTTCCTCACCAATTTTCTCACTCGAGAATTTTCCCGGAAAATTTTACCATCTTCCATTTCTCACCCCCAGCAAAAGTACTCAAATTCTTTCGAATTCTTGGTCAATCCCAAAGAGAGAAAAGGAATTCATGGCATCGTTGGGATCTTCTTCGTCGTTCTGGTGCTATCGCTGCAACCGCGTCGTTAGGGTTTCCCTTGCATTAGAAGCGCAACCGGATCCTATTGTTCTCTGCCCCGATTGCCACTCCGGTTTCCTTGAGGAACTCCACACGCCTCCCCACTCGCGTCGATCCACGCGCGCCGGGTCCCCCTTCAATCCCGTGATCATGCTGCGCGGCGGGAACGGAAGCGAAATCGCAAACGCAAACGAAAACGACGTCGTCTCGGGGAACTTCGAGCTCTACTACAACGACGCAGTTTCCGGTCCTGGCCCGAGCGGCCTGCGGCCTCTGCCCGCGGGCGTGACCGACTTCCTCATGGGCTCGTCGGGCTTTGAACACCTTCTGGACCAACTCGATGGCACCGCGGTGCGCGTGGACCGGGCGGCGTCCAAGGCGGCGATCGAGTCGATGCCGGTGGTGAAGATCCTGGCGAGCCACGCGCACGCGGAGTCCCACTGCGCGGTGTGCATGGAAAATTTCGAAGTGGACTGCGACGCACGTGAGATGCCGTGCGGGCACGTGTACCACTCTGAGTGCATCGTGCCGTGGCTCTCGGTGCGGAACTCGTGCCCCGTGTGCCGCCACGTTGTTCCTTCCGATGAGGTCGATGATAACAATACGGTGGGGTTAACTATATGGAGACTCCCTGGTGGAGGATTCGCTGTCGGCAGGCTCATCGGAGGTAGAGAACTCCCGCTTGTGTACACGGAGATGGACGGCGCGTTTAACGGTGCTAACGGCGTTCCGAGGAGAGTCTCCTGGGATTCGTCTATTGGTAGGTCTAGGGAGAGTAGGGGGTTTGGTTCTGCTTTTCGGAATATCGTTTCGTATTTCGGAAGAGTTAGGAGTTCATTTTCTCGTGGAACGAGAAATTCGCGTGTCAATGGAAGATCTCGCTCTGCCACAACCATTTTTTCTAGGTTCAGGAGTGGATCAAGATTTTAAAAAACTGCGATTTCGACCTCAATATCAAGATTCTTTAGGTCTCCGTGACACAATTGATGCCTTATTCGCCACATTTGTTGCAATTCCTACTATGAAACTGAAACCATTGCAGCAATGCGGTTTCGGTTTTTCTAATGTTTATTAGTTTGTTTAAGTATTCGCTTGAATTTAGGGGAATTTCAATTTTTTATAATGTTTCTAGTTTGTTTATTGATTCTGATGCTGTAAATAACTATAACTGATAATGGTTTATGGAGTTGCTGAAGGGTGGTTTTGAATTAGCACAGGGTTTGGGATAAAGGTTGGATGATTTAAATCTTAGATATGTATTTTAAATTTCATTTATGAGATAGATAGAATATGATTTGTCTGATCTTCATCTAATGGTTATAGTTAGCTGATTGTATGAATGTGTTGAATTCACGACCGTGGGGGATTTGGGTTCAGAGCTTTGCTGTTTGCTTGTGGTTTTGATAAGGTTTAGTTTGGAAGGAAGACAGGAAGATGAGATGTCATGTTGGGGTACAAACTGGAGGGGGAAGAGGATCTTGTGTAACTGTTGTGGTATCACTTTGTCTTTTGGTTTTGAATAACTTCATTGGTTTTGAAGTAATCAATGCTTTCGAGTTATGGTGTTTTATTTGTTTTGAAATGTGGTTCTGTTGGGTTATGGAAAATTATGACTTCCATTGTTGATGTAACATGGTCTGTTTCTTTGTCTACCGCAACTTTGGTTTCTTATGGGTTTGTGTTAGGTCATGTTTAATATTTGTGGGTCTACTTTAGTGACATTGTCGCTTTCAAACTTCATTTTTCATGTGATTGGTTTGGGTAGATAAATGTTTCACACCACATTAATAAATGATACCAAATAGCAGTAAAAGGATGCGCTAAAGAACACACAGATCACCACTTGAAGTACGTATTCCACCGCCTTTCATGTTGTCTGATACTTATTTAGAAGGACTGTGACACTATTGAATAAATTGTCGATCTGGTTCTTGATTCTGATCAATGCTTTTAATGGTCAAATCTGCATTTAAGGAGCCATTTTCATTCTCTGGTTTAGGGTGCTCGTTTTGTTGCTTGACACTTTCATTTGCAAGTTTGTCTTGAATAATTTGCAAGTCTACTTTTCAATTTTTTTTTTCCTGTTAGCCAATCGCTATTGATAATTTGAAGGTGTTGTATGACATGCCCCTTTACATTATTAGAAGATCGAAGGAAATTTGAGATACTAGCAAAAAAAAATTATGAGGAATTCTCTGTTGATATCTGAAACTTACCAAAAACTAGCATGCCCCTTTTTTGTGTTTTTCTATTTGCCTTTTCTTTTTCTTTACTAAATGCCAGCATGCATCTATTGGTATCTTACGCGATGTGTAGGGAAGTTTCATTCTGCATCTGGCTTTCTGTTGTTATTTTATAGGTTCTTTTTAATTTTAAGCATATGATTGCCTCATGTTTTTTGAGTTTATGTGCGGTCCAAAGAAAACATTTTGTGTTTCTGACTTTATAATACACTCCTAATTTTATTAAAATTATTGGAATCAGTAGATTCACTCTACTGATTGATGCTATGTGAAATTTGGGGTATTTTTTGGTTGATTATGGCTTCTGGATTACACTTTATGCCAGCATGCCTCTATTGGTAGTATCTCATGTGATGCATGAGGAAGTTTCATTTTGCCTGTGGCTTTGTTATTTTGAAAGTTGTTTCAACTTAAGCATATGATTGCCTCAGTTTTCTTGAGTGTATATATGATTCAAGGAAAACTTTTGTTTTGTTTATGACTTCATAATGCAATTTGTTTTTTAAAATGACTGGAATCTGTTGATTCACACTATGACATGTGAAATTTGAGGGATTTTGTTTCTGATTTACATTTTTATGATGTGACTACTTTATAAATAATCATCATTAATGCTACGAATGGTTGATGTGGTCACTTGCTGCAGTAGATGTTGTGTCATTATCATATTGTATGATTAGCCTTTGTTTTTGTTAAGAAAATATCTAGACTTCTAAACAATAAAGTCTTGCCACTCAATTGTTAGTGTATGACACTGAATGACTATAGGTTTTATTTATGTGCTTAACCTTTTTTATTTGTTGACCTCTGCTTAGAACTGAAATAGTAGTACAGATGCATGTTTTTTTTTTAATCAACTCAGAAGCCGGATTAGTAGTATAATTAGATAAAATAGTATCAGGGAACCCATGCAGAATTATTTTGTTTACCTTTTTGATAACACTTCTTTTACTTACCTTTTGATATTTAATAAAGGATTTGTAAGTTGGTTTTGGTTTGATTTCCATTTTTTCCCAACAATTTTACTTTCTTATAACCACGATTTAGGAGAAAGTTTGTTCATCCAAATCAAGACACAGATATTTTAAAGATAAATGTTTGTTGCATTTTAGTTTTGTTGATTGTGTTGTACAAAGGAGAGAAACAAGATTAGAGGAAGAGCAAAGTATTTTGTTCTTTGGAATTGAATACTATTTTGACATTGTAGACATATGTATCTTGAATCATAAGCTAATCATTAAAGTTTCTAAATTTAATCATTGTTATAATATTACTTAGGTTACATTGTTCTTCACTGATTGATAGATAGTGCATTTAGACAAATATTTGTTACTTGGTTTACTTTTAAGGACTAAAGTAATAATATTGTACTAAAATGGTGACTTGTTTGAAGAAATGAGTAAGTAACGAGACGAGTAAAGTTGCAGAAAATAAATGTTGTAAATAATAAAGGGTAGCACATTTTGTTAGAGTGATTTGAAGACAACTGTGGTGGTCAATAACAATGACAAATTACGAATTTGATATTTATACTACAAAGTTATACCACAGAAATTAACTACTTGTTAAACAAATTTAGGTAGCTTGGTGGATGAATTTGTTGTGTACGCACGAGTGGTATGAGAAGTCATATAGCAGTTTTCTGTAAACTAGGGCTGGGGTCGAAGTCGCATTTTGTTGTTTGATGTTTGATGTTTGAAGTTGTATTGTATTCAACGTGCTCACATCACTTACTTTTTCAGTAGTTACTTCCTTCGAACCTTGTCTTGAATACAACAGGGAAGAGGTTTCACTCTATAGACATTAAACAATTTCACACCAAATTTCAATATGACAAATTTAAAACAAATGTTAACTTCTGTCTGTAATAGATTTTAAAATAGAAAGTTTTTGGTTAACAAATATAAAATGCTTTTTTACTTCAATTTTTATTACATTTCCAAGATCAATTCTTAAAAATATTTATACTTGGAAAATTTTAACCTTTGTCCAAACACTAAATAACAAGACCCATATAGTAGTAGCTCATTTTTATATTGAAAATACGGATTATATATACTGTATAACACCATTCAACACAAACATTTTTTATTTTGAGAAATTTCAGTGCTGTCATTGTCGATGGAGTTGACTCAGGTTACTTAGTAGGTTCAACATAAGATTTTACTTGTTAGACCCAGTTGCTATTTATCATTTCCCTAATTTTTTGTTCTTTTTTTTTTAACGCATTTATGTTTTTTGTGCAGTGCTGTTTATCCATATTTATACTATTTATGTTATTCCAATATTACTTATGCCACGACCAGAGTCGCAATATAAAGGCGTGATAAAAAAATATTTTATATTTTTAACATAGGTAAGTAATAGAGTTGCTGCATATATTATTAATATTGGTAACAATTAAAAAACGTACTTAACATAGATATAATGGTTTTTTATAATAGTTATCTTAAAAATTATAGGTATTATTCTTTTGAATTAAGTGATACTGTAAAAAAAATTCACTAATGGTGAATTCGTTTTGATTTTGCAAGCTGGGAAAAAAAAATGCAAAGTATTCCAGAAGCAAAAAGGTATAAAATCAGTGTCAATATAAACATAAATAAAGCTTGTTTGGGATTCTAACAAAGAAAAAACAACTCAAATTTCAATTAAACTAATAATCACACGGGGAAAAAACAAATAACTTTAAAATCCAAAACCCAAAAAAAAAAACAATAATTTCAGTCAATGTCTGTGTTGTCTGTCTGAAGTATGAATAAAATTGGAATGAAATAGATTACGGAAAAAGATTTTAAAATAAATTGTTTCAGTCTATATACAAAATTTTCGAAGGAATTATGCAAAGGAAGATTTTTGTATATGGGAGATGAGCCAATTATATATAAAATATGATATTATTTTCAACTAAAAAATTTAGTATTTTTTTTTCTAAATTTATATTATCTGTTGGGTATTCTAATCTTTTCTGTTATGATGAGTTTAATTATCTCTTTATGTGATTCAAATCTTTTCAGTAGTTTAACTGAATAAATTTAGTTTATTTTATACATTGTCTATGTTTTATTAACATTTTAGACACTACATAATCATTTCAAAATCACTGATACGCGAAAAGTATTCTTATGAAAGATACTCGTGAGGAAAACAATTAATTTTCTACCTCAGCTAACAAAAATGTATTTGAAGAAATAAAATTATAAAATTAGTTTGATTTAAATATGATTTTTAGTCTATGCAAATATGGATTCCGTATGTTTTTAATTTTACAAAAAATAGTTATTAGTTTTAAGTTGTCGTTAATTTTTACTTATCATATTTTTGTTCTATTATTAACTATAGATATATTTAGTTTAATAAAAATAATAATTAATACAATTAAGCATATTTTTAAATTAAAATACTTATTTTTTTGGACATATAATTTAATTAAGTAATATATTGAATAAGGTAATTATATATGTTATTTTCACTCTTTTTATCGAATAACCTACTTTTAATTTTTAAAATTTTACTTAAATTTATAATTATTTTTATATTACAATGTTCAATTATTATAAAATATTTATTAAATATAACATAAACATAATTTTATTTCTAAAGGTAAAAAAATAGTTTATATTTTTAAAATTAATAATTATAATATATAATAATCATGTGTAATATACAAAATGCATAATTCACATAAATATATATTTAGTATCGTTATCTTGATATATTTTATAAATAAGATAATCATTATAATTTTGTAGTTTTATTATATTTTGAAAACGAAACAAATTATATTAATTTTTAAAATAATCATAATTTTTTATTAAAAAGAAATTTTTAATTATAAAATTACAATTTTATACATAAAGAACAATTAATAAAAAATTATATATTATGAATATAATTATTTATATTAGTTTTAAATTGTGTAAAGAAGAAAAAGAAAAGAATAATATTTAATTTCTAATAATGCACATTATTTTAATTAGGAATTATTTAAAATATAAAACATATTTTTATTATTTTTTCTTTAGGGATAAAAGCTGTGTGTATAATATATTAGAAAATAAATGATTTTATCATTATTCAAAATTGTAATGTAAAAACAAATATATAGAAATTAAATAAAAAGTGTTTAAGTAAATTATAGTTATTTTTAATAAAAATTAAAATGTTAAAAAAAATGATTGGTTGAAAAAAATAAAAATAATGTATAATCATCTTATTTATATTAAACAATATATATGTTAATTAAATTATGCACCTAAAAGCATCTAATTATCTTAATTCGTAATACTCTTACTTTAATTATATATTACTTAATGTTTTCTAATTTTAGTTAAACTAACTATATTAATGAATAAAAATTGAAAAAGATTATATTAGAAAATGTGAAAAAATTTAAAACTAACAAATATTTTTACAGGACCAGATGCAGTCGTAGAAATATATACAAACCAATTAATTTCTAAAGTATTAAAAATCATGTTACATAGTTATATGAATATAAGAATCAATCCAATCTCTATAAGTTTATCTAAACTTACTATTTTTATTAACTTTTGGATTTTTAAATGTATTTATTCAAAATATCACTCTTAAAAATCCATATCAAACTAATTTATATTATTTTAATCTTTTAATTATATAATTAACATCTTTCTTATATAAAAAACGTTATATAATTAAAGTTAAGTTTTTAAAAATAAAATTTTATTTTTTATTACATAATAATTATAATAATAAATAAAAATAATAAAGAAAATAAATTTATTTATTATTTATTATTTAAAAAATATTATTATAAGATATTTCTCTTTTTTTTACTTTTTACTTTATGTCTTATTAAACAAAAGACAAAAAAAAAAATACAATTTTATGTTACATAGATAAAATTATAAAAAAAAATTGTATTTTGTGTGAATCTGAAAGAGGAAAGCATGAGATTGAATAGATGATAAAAATGAAAAGTTAGAAATGTGAAAATACGAAAAAAAAAAAAAAGATAAAGAAAAAAAAAGATAAAAATACAAAAATAAAAAGAAAAAAGAGAAGGAGAAGTAAGTGAAAATTTGTATAAAAAATTAAATATGCTATTTATTGTTAATAAAAAATTAAGTGAAGAATAGAAAAACAAAATGAAATTTTATTTATATTTATAAAATAATTATTATATATATAAATTGATTTGGGGGCATGAATCCTACGTGTCCCGTACTTCCGTCACGCTTGAACATGGATGTTGATGAAATAATTTACTACAGCGTACAAAATAAAAATTAAAGAGAATAGTGAGGGTCTTTAAAAAGTATTGAAATTTTCTTGAAATGCATGAAGAATGTTAACAAAATGTAGAGTCTAGTAATTAAAATGATGAACATTGAACACTTTAAAAATTATAGTACCAACACATTTTGCATGAGCGAGAAGTAACGTCGTGTGTCGCTCTTCTTCCTCTAATCCTCCTTCATCTTCATGTGGTTAACGTCTTCCTTCAGCTAATAAAACCCATTTCTTATCCACATTTCCTAGGAAATCCCAACTTCTGACGTGGCCTTATCCAAACATTTTTGACATTCATAAAACAACGTCATGTGACACATTAACAGCCACCAACACAACCACACATTCTCTATCTTCGCAAAGCCACCGACATGGCGTCCATCACTCCGCTTCACGCCGTGCTTCCCAACAATGCGTCGATCCTCCCCGCACGTGTTGCTCTTTCCAACACGAGGGTGTCGTTTGCGGGCTCATCTGGGGTACCCTGCACTGCGATTCAGAGGAACTGGAGTAGATCTTCGAAGGTTGTTGTTTCGGCTGTTGGAGATGTTTCAGCTGATAGCACCAGTTACCTTGTTGCTGGTGCCATTGCAGTGGCACTCGTTGGAACTGCATTCCCCGTCTTCTTCTCTCGCAAAGACACGTAAATATCCTCACTTTTGTTTCTCCGACCTTTAAAATATTATGATTGCTTCATTCACAAATTCACAATCTTTTCTGGACATACGTTTTAGCAAGAAAATATTAATCTATTATTTTAACAACGTTTTGAATTGGTATGAATTTGGCAGATGCCCTGAATGTGATGGAGCAGGGTTTGTGCGAAGGGCTGATGTGACGTTGAGAGCAAACGCAGCACGAAAGGATCAAACCCAAATCGTTTGTGCTCGTTGCAATGGTTTGGGCAAACTCAACCAAATTGATAAATAGACAGACAAAATCACTTCTTTTCCCCTTTCTTTCTCTCTTTTCTTGATATGTAACTATTTAAGCATAACAATAATATCACTATGCCCTCCTCGATCGTCTTTCTATCTTTTAGATAAAAACGTTATAATATGTCATGGTTGGAGAGAAAATCACAAATTTCGCTTCTTCACAAACCTACCATTTTGCATTGCATTTCTGATTTGTGTTTTTCTCTCCCATTCCATGATATACCCAATGCTCCCAATGTTTTCTATAATTGTGTATATGTTATAAGTAAACCATGTTTGCTAATACGATACGTTCGTGTTCATCCTTTGTTCCTATTCCTATTTCTGTTTATCACTGAATCTGATTAGACGGGAAAACTTAATAGAGGCCTATAGACATTATAGTTGACTAGATTTCAAAGGGTGATTATAATTTATTTGTATAAAATAGTGTTTACGAATATTTTTCTTGTTTGATAATATTAATGAAATTTTTATTATTAAAGTATTTCTACTAAAAAGGAAAAAGAAATTACACATATAAGAAAATTATGATTTGAGGTTAACTGCTTCTCTTTTAGCGAATTTGTCTTCTATATCCTCAATTGATTATTTTAGTTACCAAACCGATCGTTACAAATAATTTCATTAATTTTTTGTAGCTAGTTCTCCATAGGAAAACAAAGTTTGGACAAAATATAATCTTAAAACTACTTTTCATTCAATATATATCGCAAAAGGTTTATTTCATATATTATCATTAAAAATCTAATCAGAATCCAGTGATGGATAATTAGAAATTGAAGTGCCACCTTCATATACCGAACAAAGAATTTAATAATAACAACAATAATTTGCAATTGAAGTGCCGCTAGAATTTATAACAAGTAGTGTAAGATCTTAAGATTTAAGTCTTATGTATATCTATAAAGAAAAGGTCGTGTAAGGTCTTCAATTTGAGTCTTGTGTAAAATATAAATCAGTAAAGGTACATAAACTTGTTACACTGCTGCTATTAAAGCTATTAAAGACAGCATTTTAAAGGTAAAACAGTCGAAGTGATTTCGTGATGGACCACCTGTACAAAAACATCATTAGTTCCACCCCAACTTCTCTTTCTCAGTACATGTCATGGATGAAGCATGCCAAACTGATAATACATTCTGCCCAATTCAAGTGGCAATAAAAAAACAACAGGAAGGCTTAGTGCAGGAAATCTTTCATTGGATCATCATGATGAACTTTCTTCATCCGATATGCTTCCATGTCCTCTGCAGTAACCTCATCGTTCCATCGAACATTATACTTGCGTTTCCTCTCATCTTTCTCTTCCCTCTTCCTTAGATCTTCCTGCGAAACCGTATATATAAAATGTCTGAATAAGTATCTCAGGATTGAAGCTCAAGAAAAAAAATATATTTCACACTAGAAATATACACATCCATAATGTCAAGCCATATTTTGCTTATGCAAAATTTAATTTGAATCAAATTGCCTTGTCCTTGGTCATTAAGATGGAAAAAGTTATTGGCAAAAAAGAATAATTAATTCCAAAATACACTAACAAATACCAAGTTCATACATGTACACATATATACCTTTTTGAGGGCATCAGCAAGCAATTTCTCATCCAGAACTAGATCATCTGGGACATCAGTACCCCAAGTAGCGAGCTTTTTCTCCTCCACGGGTGCAGAATCGTCTATAGGTTCATGAAGAAAAATAGACAATAATAAAGACAATGCTAAATACAATCACACAAAAATGTCAAACAAACAAAAAGTAATAGAAATAGAAGAGCTAGAGGCACAGCATAAAAGTGGTGTCTGTTGGCAAACGAACCTGTAGCAGCCTCCTTACGGGCAATGTTGGCTTTCATAAGATCACTTGCAGCTTCAGCAGCCTCAATACCAGCAGCACCAGTGCAATAGCTATTTCGTATTGTCTGCTTGCAGCATTTATAGCCCCACTGGTGATCCTTCCACCATGAACCCCAGACAGTCGTGTGGTTGTTAATGTAAATATCTTCTTCATACTTGCTCCTGGGGAGTGCTGCTTCCTGTTGTTAATGGTAAAACCCCAAAATGTTAACAGATCACGTAAAAAGTCCCACTACGCTATCAAGAATTTATCAGCAAATTACAAACATTGCTCTATAAAGATGTAGAATGCATCTCTCACCTGGCCCTTTATTATTCTACCAGCTCGGTCATATTCAACTTGCCTTTCACTTTGGCCCAGCAGAAGTTCTCTTGGAGGCTTGTCCTCATCGGCAGCATTACCATACTTCTCAATAATGGTTTCCTTTGTATGATACTTCAACTTCTCCTTCCGGACCTTGAAACTCTTATAGAGTAATTCAGCTTGCGATGGAGCTGCTTGCATGTGAACATCTTGTCCCTTGTCAAATGCTTCCCAAGCATGGATGTTCAATTCCTTAAATTCCAAAGCTTGTCCACTATTTCTATATTGGTTATCACCCTACGATACAAAAGAAGATTCAATCCGACGCAAGATTACTACATATAGCAGTAAAAAGTAGTAATGTTTCATATAAATTTTCATTATAGAGAAAAGTTACCCCATAAAACTTTTCATTTGGATCTGCATCTGGAAGGGGATCCTCTCGCATGGATCTGGTTTTGGGATCGTAATGTGCTGAATTGACATCAAGATTAAGAAGATATTTTGCAGTATCCTCTCGAATACGTAGATTCCTGAGGGAAAAAAATATTTCAGCTCCAATTGATCTAATAAATAATGAAATATATATCCTTAAGCATATGACCAATTAAATTGGCCTTGCATATTCAAATGATGGTAACATAAAAATTACCTCACAGTTCCTGTACTCCCACCACCTGTAGTACGTACACGCTTCTCAACCTTTGCAAAGTCCATTTGTTTGCTCTCATCAACCTTTGCCTCATCTACCCTTAAATCATCTTCATCTTCATCCTCATCACTTGTAGGATCCTCACCATTTTGGTTGCTCTTCTCCAATTTCTTAAGCTGTTGTTCTTTCAGGTACTTCTTTCGTGCTTCATCTCTAGCTTCATACCTCTCAATCACTCGAGCATAAGTTGATGCATCATAACCATTCCATCTGTCCCGTTTGCCATCATAGTCAAGCTCAAAAGTTTCTATCTTTTCATCAGGAGCAATGTGTGTGTTTGTCCATTTTGCACCCACTTTCCGTGGTCTTTCCATGCATGACTTTGAATCATGCGTCATTGCTCCACAACTGTAACAAGATGATGAAGATTGAAGTAGTCAATAAACATTGTAAGAGAAAATGAGAATGTAAATAAGTTCAGAGACAAGCCAGGTTGTCAAACTTGAGAGATCAGTAAAGTGGTAAACTCATGGAACCTCAGTGAATTTGAATTACAAAATAATATTAAAAAAAAAAAAAAACCTTAAAAACCATAAACGATCAATAACTGAGTTATCTGTTATGCCATACAGAGTCCCAATCCCACATATTATTTGTAGTTGAAATAACAGAACAAAAGCAATAACTAAAACATTCAATAACTTCAAAACTCTAATACACATTGAATAGCAGATGCAGTTCAACTCAAGTACCGAACAAAATAGTCAAAAGTTGCACTCGGAAATCAAAACCATGTGTAGATCCACTCTCTTAAATTCAATACTAGAATAAACTCGTTAGTTTAAGAGAGAATTTACATGCAAGTAAACGTGATTTTTACTTATTGTCTTAAAACCAATAACTCGTAAGAGATTTTGATCAAGAGTTGATGATCACCAATAAGGACAAGATATAGAATGAACAGATAGCCTGATAATTTTTGTTAATTAAATATTAAATTTCATATACAAGTTGTCAGACAAGGAGTATACATTAAAAATATACAAAGAGTATACATTAAAAATATACAAGTACTGACACATTATAGCCAAATAAATCCAGACCACTTACTTTTCACATGCACCTTTCCTATACTTGTCGGCCTGAAAGATTTTAGCACCTCTATCGTACCATGATTTGGTATAATTGGGATCAGATTTCCATTTTCTTTGATGCTTCAAACTCTAAAGGCATAAAAAAGGGACAGAGGAATATGTTAGTTATTATATGTCAAACACCACAATTTCAGCTAAAAGGTGGAGGGGAGAGAACACTCACTGGTCTCTCAGCATTAAGATACCAAGGTGCAGATGACATATACTGCGGAATATGAGGATTGATTTCCTTTCCATCTTCATCGAGTTCAGCTGGCGCAAGCCCCGCTTTCCGTGCCTCCTCCAACTCAATCTGTTTGCGGTGGTCCTCCCTGGACTTAAATGCAACTGCAATCAACACCAAACAAGTTTAAAAATCATTATGATACGAGGCAAATGGAGACAAACCACGTTCAAAATTCAACTAAGAAGAAAAAACTTAAAAATGGTGCAAACTATTGCAAACCGATTAACTTAAGAGCTACGAAGAACCAGTAATTCAATTTTCTTCACATATCCATATCCAATTCTAATACTTGCCAAGAATATTAAACCTAATCTGAGAAAAGAAAAAGACCCCTCATGCTCTCTAGACCTTGCCAAAAATACCGTCATTTTTCATTTTGTAATAATTCAACATAATGAGTATCAATCAATTGACAGATTTGAATTGGGATCTTATTGGAACCCGGACATGAATGAACGAAACAACAGCAAATCCCAAAAACAAAATTACACAAACTAAGAGCGCGATCGAATGAAAAAACTGAATTAACATATAAAAATAGGCAGGTTTTATGAAAACCAAAAAAAAGCGAATGATTTAAGGTGTGACTGATAGCAGAAACCCTAGAAATTGAAGATAACGGAATTGACAAGGAGAAAGGAGTACCTGAAGCGGTGGCCATGGTGTGAAGAACGCAGAATCGAATTGAAGATCAAAGCCGAAACGGAGAAGAGGAACGAGGCGAAGTCAGTGATTTTGATTTTGGTACTTTGCGATTTCACACGATTGGCTTATCTTTCTAGTCTATGGAAAATGAGATTGGGCATTTTTACCTTTACACCTATTTATTGTGATACACTCCCATTATATTTTCATTAGTAAAGATGAAAAAAAATCAAAATTCAAACAGTAGATAATGATTTTTTTTTTTTTTAAATATTATTTTATTATTGAATATCTTACGTATTAAAATATTTTTTTATTAATATTAAAAAATATTAAATTATAATTTTAAGTTAAATAATTATGATTAAATTATTATTAATATTTTATATTTTTTATATAAAAAAATATACAGACATAACAATTTACAAATTTTTATTGGGTTGAACATAATATAATTAAATCAATCACTCTGTTTTCATATCTATTTTATAACTTTTATTTTATTAAAATACATCACAATAAATTTAAAATAGATATAAATATAAATACATAAGAGGAGAAATATTTATTCTATAAATCAGTTAGAATTTATCGAAAATAATTTCTTTCAATGCTACCGTAATTTAGGAAAAAAAAGTTTTATACAAGAATATTGAGAAGATACGAGAGTATAATATTTCTTTTGGGATATTTTAAAATTAAATTATTCATTAAATTATCAAAATATTGATTTAAAATGTAATGATTTAATAATGTTTGAACCAATATTAAAATAATAATAATTAAATATTCATAACATTGTGTGAAATAAATAAAATATCACGATTTTATAACATTAAATATACAAATTTAAATCAAGTATATTATTATAACACTCAAACTTAGATGTTCATAAATTATAACAGTATTCATTAAAATAACAAGTTTGCATTTAGAATAAAATATAAAATAATAAACTAATATAGTATAAAAATTTAAAATATATGAGTAAATTGGTGTTTAAAAGAAAAATAATAATTTATATCTATATAATAAATTTTAAAGAATTAAAAATTAAAAATAAATCAATTCAAATGGATTTGTTTGTATCTATTTGAATCTTAATATCACCTGTTGAACGGTTCGAAAAGGTATATTTAGAGTTATTTTAATCGAAAGTTAGTTATAATTTATGTGAAACATAATATATCATATATTATTATGCAACTTCGTTAATTTGTTGATTAAAATTACTTTTTCTAAAAGGAAAGCGGTCGGTTTAATCAAGGTAATTAAAAATCAATTTAGAAATTCACTCATTATTTTTAAATTTTAATTAAATTAAGATAAAATTATAGAGTTTTTGGATTATACTGATTTAAAAAAATCACATTTTTTTAATATAAATATAAAAAATATATAATATTTTTTTAAAATTTTATATTAATTACTTTAAATTTAAAAAATAGTTATGTTTCTTAATTTTTGTCATATTTTAATAATTATTTATTTGGTATTTTTTAATATATTTTATATCTATAATCTTTTTTTAAGATAAATAATATTTTTTATTATTTTTTTATAATAAAAATTTATTATATTATAAAAATATTATTTTATTAAATTTTATTGAACCTCGTTTAAATTCGATTAAAAGTTAAAATTCTTAACCCATGTTTATACATATTAATTTAATCTGCAGTCAAATTTTAAAAACATTGATTAAAATATGTTATATTTCATTTATAATGACACTTTATAACACTTTATAAGTACAATTTTTATCTGTTATTAAATGTGAATCATATACTTTATAAATAAAAATTAATTTGGAAAGAAGCTAATAGATTTAAAATAAATACTTATTTATCATAAAATGAATAACATATTAAAATGTCTAATTTCTTGATTTTTTTTCTAACTTTTAAATAAAATGATTAGATTAAAAAACTTATGTAAATATATGATTAAATATATTATTAAAATAAGATTTGTCTTAAGAAAAGTATTAGTTATTTCAAATAATTCTTCAAAATTTAAATGACATGGTAAATCATTTAAAAGGTGAAATGTAGGTTCTCCCAATAATTCGGGTTTATGTTCTAAATTATAATTTTTTTAAAATAATGTGTTAATTTATATTATTAATTTGAAATATATAGGTTGCATTGTTAACAAACAAATAACAATCTTATTATTAAATTTATTGAAAATTTTGACCTTAAAAAATTATTTATTTAAAAAATTATGACTGGTCGATCTATCGATCCAACGAACCCAATCTTTGATGAGACAAATTAAAGTTTATAGGTTGTCATGATTATAAGGGACCTGTGCATCCTGTCTCGTTTTTGGCGGGTTAAAGACGAGGTGAGTCAAAACGGGACAGACTGACCCGTTTTACCAATCCTTCCAAAGATTCATCTTATAATATATTGTTGAAAAATGACTTCATATACGTATGGTGACAAACTCTTAATCCATTTCTTTCAAGACAGTCTCGTAGAATCTTCTTTTATATTGTTGGTACATGAATTTAGAGCAAAGATAAATATATACATGGAAAGACTTGACATAAACTTTTCTGACGTAATACAAATATAATATGGATATTATGTAGACCCCTAATTTTGCCCGACCTCTCAATAAAGGCTAAAGAGACTTCCTACAACAAAGACAAAGCTCGCCTGACATCTCAATAAAGGCCAAGAAGACTTCCTATATGAAGATAAAGCTTTAACGGGCGTTTATCGGCATCAAACGACGTCCAAATACAGAAAGGAAAGCTTCCCAGGGGTCCCAGAACACAAAGGCTGGCCAAAATAGGTCGAGACGGCCATCCCAAGGTCGAGACGACCGTCCCAACCTTCCCTGATCAAGTGGGACGACCGTCCCAAGTGGGACTGCCAGTCCCAGCTTTCAGGTGGTCTCAACCTTTGCAAAAGAGGCATTTGGGACGGCCGTCCCAACCCAGACGACCGTCCCAACCCAGTAGGGCGTCCCAAATGTGCAGGCAGCGAAAAACTATAAATTGGAGGCTCATTTGCCACTGTTTCACACACCAGACAACTCCCAGTACTTGTCTATCCTCTTCCCTCTTCAAATGAACTCTCTAATTGTCTTGATAAGGTAACAATCAGTTAAGGAATCATATTCCAGCATTCGATTCTTCTGTAAAATTGAGTCGAGTCGATCTTGTATTTGGAGAGGAGAGTCTTTGTAGAACGAAGGATTGTCAAAACGCATCCTCACGATTAAAGATTCGTAATACAAAGCTTGCTACGGAGGTTCTGTTCAATTCTCTTCTCTTTTACCGCTTTATTTATTGCTTTCTGTATGCAATGTAAACTAAAATCATGTAGATAACAATTTTTAACATTATGCAATAAAATAGGGTAATCGCGTAATTTCTCGTAATCTTTACTTAAATGAATTAATCCGTCATAGGGAACCCGAAATGGGCGTTGTGGGGTGCTAACACCTTCCCCACACGTAACTAACTCCTTTACCTAACTCTGGTTATAATGGCCAAGTTTGGTTTTATTAAAATCAACGCCTTTTTATCATTTTCTAATGTTTACGGTCAAAACATTGGTGGCGACTCCAAAAGAACCCCTTTTCGAAAACCTTGCTTTTATTAGAGGATAGTTTAGTTGTTGAGCACCTCGGAAGCAATGAACATATTTTAAAATAAAAACGTGAGTCTAAACCATCTTTTCGCGACCGCTCGCATAAACGTTCGAGATGTCCCTGGACGTCAGAACGGACGGCGGCGACAGATGGCGACTCCGCTGGGGAAGCTAGAGAGTTGATCGCATTTAGTGACGGATAAATTCAAACTAAGTAAAGATTTGAAATTACGCCTTTACCCTTTTCCGTATGTTTTATTGTATGGCTTTAATAATTGTTGTATGATTATTTTCTGCAAATTGTCTGAAATATAAATTGCACACAAAAACCCTTGCATACAACAGTCCCTCTATACCTGGGGGCAAGAGTGAATACCTATAGGGAGTGGGTGGCAGATACGACCGACTTGTTGGCACACGGGGCTACAACCGTTGTCGGAAACCACCAACTCAAGGTGATAACTCTCTTCTTTTGGTCTAAGGATGTCGACACGGAATTCCATGCATGACCCGAGGACTGAGAGATTGAGAGGTCCCTATAATGGGGGCACCTTGGGGACCTTTTGGCCTTGGTGAGAACAGTTTAGAACCACCTAAACCAAGCACGTTTCTGCAGAAAAACCCTACCTCGTGATTAAATAAGTGTGGCTCTGCTCGTGGATGTATGAATTGTGTGTGCATTCGTTTGTTGCATTTGTATTGATGCGTTAGCATAGGGTAATCATACAACAAATAAAATAGTGAAAAACCCTAAAAATCATAAAAGTGATAAGATAAATCAACTTTATCTTGGACAGTCTTCAGTTAAACTAGCCTGGTTTCAGGTTCTTTGTAAGCTAAGTAGTCACGTTGACCGACAGAAGAGATAAAGGGTCATAAAAATATAAAAACAAATTTAATCAATAAAAATATCTTTTACAATAAAAAGATTTTCGACAAAGTCGTATCATTCATACCACATCATCCAATAAGTGGTAAAACCAAGAGAGAAAATAAATGCACTAAGAAAAGTATGCATAAACATCATCATAATAAATCTCTCATACATAAACACATTCATTCTAGGAGTTATTAGATATCCTTAGACAATAATGAAAGAGACCCAAGTGCGTTTATCACCTTCCTAGAAGAGATAAGTGCGCTAAGGTATGTTGGCAACCTTTGAAAAAAGGAAGTTAGCACACTAAGGTGGGTATGGTACCCTTAAAACATAAGCTTTTGAGAGGATACCATAGCTATTGTCTAAGGCATATCTATTTCACACTAATCATTTGAAATAAAAAGCTATAATAAAAATCGTTAAAATCATTTAGAAAGTGGCTGGTCTTCCTCCCGTCCTCACGCGTACCCAGAAAGCTAAGAAGATGGAGCAATAGAGGAACAAAACCGTATGCTCACCGCTGAGCTT